TTTTGCACGCAGCGAAGTGTGCCATCTTCGTCAACCTGTCAACGACGACCATCACCGCGTCGTTACCCCCAGGGTTCGAAGGTAACCCTGTGACGAAGTCCATGGTAACCTGCTGCCAGGCGCGCTCGGGCGGTGGTATCGGCTGCAATTGACCCGCCTTCCGCTTCCTCGAGCTCTTCATCACCTGACACGTGGGGCACGAGCCCACGTGCTGCTGTACGTCGGTCAACAGCTCCGGCCAGTAATAATACCGCTGCAGTTGCTGTCGCGTTTTTTCTACCCCAAAATGTCCCGAGGTAATTTCGTCGTGTGCCTCCTGCAGTAGCAGCTCCCTCAGTAGTGAGTACGCGAGTACCCAGATGCGGTTGGTGCCTGTTTTTACGTAATAAACTCCTTTAGCTTCTGCCAGTTGCTGTGAGTTGCCGGTCGTGAAAAATGGGTCGGTGCGGTATCCGTGGGTGAATAGGCCTGTTAAAAGCGGATTGGTCTGGGCGAGTAGGATGGCGTGGAGTTGGGCGGTAGGGCGGGTGAGTGTGTCGGCGATGTTGGATGCGCCTTTCTTGTACGTAACTGTGTAGTGGAAGTTGGACTCGAGATAGTCCAACCAGCGGATCTGTCGCGGATTGAGATTTGGTTGGGCGCGTAGGTACTGTAGTGATCTGTGGTCGGTCCGTACTGTCACGTCGGCGCCAGTCAGGTAACACCGCCAAACCTTGAACGCGTGCACGATCGCCAGCATCTCGCGGTCGTGTATCGGGTAGTTGCGCTCGGGCGGGTGCAGCTTGCGGGACTCGTACGCGATTGGCTGGAGGCCGTTTCCGAAATCCTGCAACAGTACTGCACCCACAGCGATGTCACTTGCGTCGGTGACGAGCTCGAACGGTCGGTGCGGATCTGCGATGTGAAGCACGGGCGGCGAGCACAAAATTTTCTTGAGGGCCGAGAAGGCAGCTTGCTCTTTCTCCCCCGCTTCGCCATGTCGGGGACGAACCGGCGCACGTAGTTGACGAACCCCAAAAAACTCTGCAACTCGGTCAAGTTGGTCGGCGCGTGCCACGCTTGAATCGTCGCAATTTTCTTCGGGTCTATTTCCACTCCTGCAGCTGAAATAACGTGTCCCAAAAATTCCAGGCGGTCCTGTAAAAACTCACACTTAGACGCTTTTGTCAGTAGGCGGTTCTCACTCAGTATTTTAAAAACTGCTTCGATGTCCTGTAGGTGCTGTGCTCTGTCAGGGCTGTAAATCAGTATGTCGTCCAGGTATACTATGACGCACTTATCTAAGAGTGGGCGGAAAGCTTCGTTCATGGTCATTTGGAAAGTGGCGGGGGCGTTGGTCAGTCCGAAGGGCATGACGGTGTATTCGAAGGATCCGTAGCGTGTGCGAAATGCGGTCTTAGGGCAGTCAGGTGGATTGACGCGAATCTGGTGGTAACCCCCTCGGAGGTCGATTTTCGAGAAAACCCGGGCTGTGCGCAGTTGATCGATCAGTTCGTCGGCTCGTGGGATGGGGTAACGGGATTTGATGGTAACCCTGTTCAGTGCTCTGTAATCTATGCACATGCGAAATCCCCCGTCTTTTTTCGGTGTGAACAGTATCGGTGCTGCGAAGGGCGACGAACTAGGGCGAATGAATTCCTTCTCGAGCAGATAATCGAGCTGCTTCCTCAGTTCGTCCAGTTCGGGCTGGGTCAGTCGGAACTGTCGCTGTACTGTTGGCTGTGCCCCCGGTTCTAACTCTATCCTGTGGTCGTGCGGTCGCTGAGGTGGCAGTCCCGTCGGTAAATCGTCCGGGAAAATGTCGCTGTACTGCTTCAACAGTGCTGCCAGGTCACTCGGTACGTCGGCCAGCAGTTTCTGTAAATCCCCTCCTTTGTCTGCTGCCTCGGCTTCCCGAATGTCAACCGCATACACGTCAGCTCCTGCCGCTACGGCGCGCTTCATTGTGATCGCGTTGACACGCACCGACGAAGACTCAGGCGAGCCCCAGCGAGGCAAGGCGATGTTGTTACCGTTCACTCGCACGGTGCAGTCACCCGTCGTCCAGTCGATTCGCGGATTGTGACGTCGCAACCAATCCCGACCGAGTAAAATGTCGAGGGTCGTCGCGAGCATTTCCTGGCTAAACGTGAAGTTACCCCCGCATCGAATCCGAACCCGGTCTACGCGTTCCCGTATCGCCAGCGGCGTGCCGTCAACCAGTCGTGCATCAATCTCAGGTAAGCATTTGTCCAGTGGCAGTTTCAGCTTCCGTGCCATGGCAGTGTTGATGAGGCTGTGGCTGGCTCCCCCGTCTACGAAGATCTTAACTAAGTCCGTCCCGATTTTCCCACTAAGCAGTATGGGGCTGTCTACCGTAGTACCCTCCTTATTCGGTCGGGTGTGGTCGATTGCGTGAACCGGCACAATCACTTGGTGAGGGTCGGTTGGGTCGGGCGAGTGGTGTGACCTGTCAGTAGAGGGCCCGTCTGCTACTGACTTCCAGCGTTTCCCTGCTGCTTGGTCTGTTTCTGCTGCTCAGCTTCCCCCTTTCCCTTAGCGTTTTCCGGGCATTCGCTCTTGCGGTGTCCCGGCCGATTGCACGCGAAGCAGCGCCCTTTGAACGGTGCGGCAGCGGCATTCGCGGCGACGGCACGTATCGTAGCGCCCTCGTTCTTCCCACGAGACCGATGTCCCCAGTTGCTGCTACTGCTGTAGGACCCCGGTCTCGGTCGGCGGAAGAAGTCGAGCTTCTCCGCCATAGCGAGAATCTCATGAAAATCGGTGACGCCGCGAAGCTGAATTTCTTGAGCGATGTCGTGCTTCAGGCCGCCGATGTAGCGGTCGACGCGCTCGCTCTCATGCATGTAGCCCACTTGCTCGCATAGCGCCAGAAACCCGCTGGTGTAGTCCTGGACGGAACCGAGTTGGCGCCAACTGCGGAGCTTCTGTCGCGCCGCGATCGAAGCCGCAATTGGCTCAAATCGAGCGCGCAGACCTGCGCACCACGCGTCCCACGTGCGATATTGGGGCACCTCCACGAAATACGACGGCGCCCAGGGTCCGGTTTGTCCTTCCCGTGTCGGTAGAGTCGCGTAGTCATTCGACTTCGTGACGATGACGCGCCACCAGTCCATGGCGGGTCCTCGCAGCAGCGACACGGCGTAGCGAATTTTCGCCGTATCCTCCGAGACGTAGTTGGCGTCGAAAAACACGTTCATCGTGAACAACCACGCCTGAACGGTAGGACCACCCCGTTGACTCGGGTCAAAGCATGGCGGACGCTGCGGCTTCAGCGGCATCGGTGACGGCAGTTCCGAATCGTGGGTCGGTGCCGAAATCGTGACGCGAGGCTGACTTGGGGCCGCATTCGTCGCTTCGGGGTGTGTCGTGCCGTGGTCGTCGTCTTCGTCGTGGCGGACGACGCCATCACTAGCCGCGCTCGCGGGTCGCCCCACACTTCCATGCTGCGATGTCTGTGGTGCGGGCGGTGCCGGAGTGCCAGGTGCTTGAGATTGTGCTTGTTGTGCCCGTGTGAGGTCGTTTTGCAGGGACGATCGTTCTGCCGTCAGCGTCGCGATTTCTTCGGAGCTCTCGTGAAGTTGTCGCAACAGATCGTTCAGACGGTCCTGCGTGAGGGTGGTGACGTCGATATGCTCAGCCATGGCGAAGGGCGTCGGCTCGTCTTAGTCTAGGCGCAGTCGTGGCTGCACGCGTTTACGAGAGAACGCGATGACAGCGGCTCCTAGGGGCTAAGGTACGTGAGTCCCTTCGAGTGAAAAATCAAAAGTTGATTTCCTGGGGTGCGGAGATGCGCGGTCCGAAAAGGAAAGAGGCTCTGAATACCAAGTGTTACGGGTGCAATGGATCGAGGTAGCGAGGATTGCACTAAGGTGTCAAACGAGTACAAAATGTGAGCGAAGGCATGAGCGAACATTTATACGCGAAACATGCAAACGGTAACGCGGTGCGTGCGAGCTAGCTAGTGCTACGCTGGCAGCGAGGCTCGGGCTAGTCCTGAAGCGTAGGCCGACACGGCTGGGCCAGCAGTGCGTGGTTTGGCAAAACAGTGCGCGCGAAGTTGGCGAAGTCCCGTTAGCTGTAACGGGCGAACAACGGCAGTGCTGTACGCGATGTAGCCAGACTCCGTAAGGAATGCCGAGAAAATTCCTTACAGTAAGCAAGAAGTGCACTCTGGCATTTCATATCCATTTCATGTTGAGCTTTCAAGGCTGTCCCGATTATGCAGGCAGGTGCACGAAAGCACATTCTGCACGACACGCCTCCCAAAAATTCGACATTTCGAATTGCGATTATTTGGCGGGGCTGCTTTGCCTCCGAATCCCCAGCGCTCCTGCCACGACAACCCAACCAGCCCAAGACCGCTCTGCCCAAGCGCAGCTCCTCCGCTCCATCCTCCTCTCGCGCCGCGCCCAACCGTCCGCGTTGTTGGCGGCGGCGGGGAATTTCACTCTTTCGAAAACCTCTCTGCTTCAGCTCCCCATTTCCAGCAGCATTGGACAGCCCATGCATGTTTCTCCTACTGCCCGCTCAGGTGCGAAACTCTCAAGAGCAGCATCTTCACGACCAACATCCATCCAGTGCAGGCACTTGCAATCACACACCATCACATAATGGCTGCCCATATGCTTTCACCTGGCGCTTGTTTCATCTCACACTAGTCAGTCCCAGCCAGAAGTAGCCTCCGTGATTCTTAGCCGATGCTGTGGAGAATCCGAAGCTTGCAGAGTGCTTTTTAGGGTAGGGAAAGATGGTGGTGGAGCTAGTGGAGTTACAGAATGGCGACGTCACGCCATCGTACCTCCAGGAGTTGCTGGCGCTGCTGCGATCGTCGCAGCACCAACAGCGCACTCAAGGCTACACCAAGTGAGTGCTAGTCAGCGCTTCTGTGAGTTCTTGTCCATGACTGATCTTTCCGGAAGCTCGTGCTTCTCGCGCGCGGTGTTCTCAGATGCACGCATCATGCGCGTCTCCTCTCTCTTGTGCCCTCGCCACGCCAGACTGCTTCATCTTCAGATGCAGAGCGACGGCGGCGGCGACGGGACAGCCGCCGAGATGCTCCAGCAACACCTGGCGGCGCTGCTCGCGGTGCTGCGACCCGACATCCTCTCCACCGCCACCGACATGTACGCCACCTCCCCCTCTCCCTCCCTCTCGCTCCAGCCCGTTCCACTCCTGCTTGATGCTACTTTTTCTTGCGTCCATGTCCCGCTTATCTACGCCCACGTGGCTGTTAATATTCTTCCCGGTCGATCAATTTTGAGGCGGAGCTACTCACGCAGTAGGGGGAAGCAGTCCAGTCGACAAGGCTCGACTCAACGCGATGCGCACGAACCGCCTGTCCTTAGTCAGGGCCTCGAACCAATAGCAGTATCAGAAGCTGTAGAAACAAAGAGGCCTGGTCGTGGGATTGCCACGTGGCGCGATCAGCGTCCTGGAGTTAGGGTTGCTGTGCGCACTCGCGCGCTCGCGTAGCCCCTCCGCAACGGTCATAGCTGCTTCGCCGCATCTTTAGATCCCTCGTCTCTTGGCCCTCGCTCGCCCAGTCGGCGGCACCGTCGACGTCCTCATGTCGTTGAAATCCATCCTCCTGACCCCCCCCCCGCTTCCCCTCCCTCGTGCGGCTCTCTGACCGCCATGCGCGCGACGGCAGATGCGTGTACGCCATGAAGTGCGCCGCCTTTTTCCTGCACCACCCCGTTTTCGCCAACCACGCCTCCGGTAAGCCTCCACCGCCTCCACTCCTCTCCCGCCCTTCCATCCGCCCAACACCAGCGGGAGTGTTCATCTCGCGCGTGTCCCCTCGTTCGTCTCCCGTATCTCTGCCCTCGTGTCGTCGCGTTCCGCCCATCGCGAGGCACGGTGTGGCGGATGCATGACGGTTAGGCAGGAAATTAAGCGATAAAAATCTGTGTGTTGGTGCGCGCAGACGCGGATGTGAGCGGCACAATGAAGGCCATACTCCAAGCGATCATGACCACCAACGATAAGGTCAGTGCCTTGACCCATCCCTTCTGCCTTGGCTTCTGCGCGCTGCTTGTTTCCTCGACGTTTCTCATGCCGCTCCCTCCCATTCCGCCCGTCCCACGCGGCACGTGGCAGGTGGTGTGCAATCTGGCAGTGTGGTGCGTGTCGCAGCAGAACGTGCGCGCGCCGCTGTTGGCGCAGCTTCTGCCGTCCGTGCTGCGCGCGTTGGTGCACGCCGTCGTCAACCCCATGGCGTCGCACGCCATCTCCTGCGAGGCCTGCAAGGTACGCTCCCTGCCGCTCCTTGCCCTCGCACCCATCGCACTCGCGCCCTGCGAGCACACTTGTCGTCGACCGGCACTCGCACATTCGCCGCGCCTCCTTCCAGTCGCCATGGCTAGCAACGCCCGCCTCATATCACACAAGGTTGCCCCCAAGGCGTTCGTATACATCTCTGCTGCCTGTCGCGCAGATTGCCGCCTCACCGCCATGCCCTCCCCCTCTCGCTCTCCCCATGTCTCGCGCGTCCTGCAGGCCGTGCGCGTGCTGGCCCTGCAGCTTCCGCAGGAGATGAGGCAGCACGCGCACGTGTGGGCCGTGCCCATGTGGCGGCGCCTGCTCGTCGCCTCGCACCGCAAGGAGCGCGACCTCATCCACGCCACGCTCTCGCTCGCCGCCACGCGCCGCGTGCTGCTGCCGCCCTCGCCGCTTGTCACCAAGGTGCGCCGTCCCCCGCGCACTACCCTCCCGTTCCCTCTCCCGTCCAGGTCAATCCGTGCTGATTGTAATGCGTGGAGCCGAAACTTAACTCGTCACTGTTGCTGCTGGTGTGGATGCGGGTGCGGGTGTGCCTGTGGGTGCGGGGAGTGCAGGCGATGGTGGAGGAGGTGAAGGGCGGCGCGGTGCAGCGCATGGACGCGATGCTGGGCGACGTGCAGCACATGCCGCTCGTCGTGCTCGCGTGGGCGTGGCTCGTCCGCCTCACGGGCGGCTCGCTGGCGGAGAAGGGCAGCACGGCGCTCGCCAACGCGCTGCTCAAGGTGCCGGAGCGCACCTTCATGGCGCCCGACGCCGCCGTGCGCGCCGAGACGCACATGGCGTGGCAGTCGCTCATCGACGCCTTCGCGCCCGCCATCCCTATCGCTGATGCGCCGCTCGCTGCTGCTGCGCTCGAAGGGGGCAAGCGGAGCATCGCGTCGCGTTCGCCCACTCACAGTGCGTGCTGCTTCATCCCATACCCGTACCATCTCGCCCGTCCCTGTCTTGTCCTCGCGCGCGTACCATCGCCGCTCTTCCCTGGTTCTTTTTTTCCCATTCTCTCCATAACCTGCACCTCTGCTCCCCTCTCCCCGCGCTCCCCAGAGTCCCCAGGCACCACGCCCTTCCAGCGCGGTCGAGGCGCGATGGTGGCAGCGCCCTCGCCGAAGCGCCTCACGCTGCTCATGGCTCCGCTCATCACCACCGCAGCGCACGAGGCCGATTCGGCGGTGCGCGGCGCCGCTCTTCACTCGTGGTGCCACCTGCTGGGGTCGCTGGGCCCCTGGGCATCGTCCGCCGCCGTCTTCTCCGCCGCCGCCACCCCCATGCTGCGCATCGTGCTCCGCCGCGGGCCCTACCGCCCGGCACAGGGCGCGGAGTCGCTGGTGGGGGAGGCGCAGGCGTGGGAATGGGCGGGGTGCCTGAAGCTGCTAGAGGGCTTCGTCGCCACCACAGGCGCAGGCGCAGCTGGGGACGAGGAAGTGGGACTGTCCGGAGCGGCGACGCGGGAAGGAATCAAGGACGCGGGCGCGGGGAAGCTGTTGCGGGGGGGCAAGGCGGAAAGTGGGCGGGAGAGTGGCGCGCTGGTGCCCGTGGAAGAGGTGGGCGCGAAGGCGGGGACGTTGGTGTCGGTGGCGGCGAAGGGCGGGTGGCAGGTGTCGGAGGGGCAGGGCGGCGCGCTGGAGCGCAAGTACGACAGGCGGCACGCGGCGGCCGCCATCGTGACAACGGTGGAGTGGGCGCCGTGGCAGGTGGAGCAGCTGCGCGAGCTGCTGGGGCTGCTCGACGTCGTCGTGCGACATGCGTGCGACCCAAGCGACGTCGCTCGCAACGAGCGCGCAGACGGGCGAATGGCGTTGGAAGGCTCGTCGCACGGTGCGGCGGAGGGGCAGGAGAACGGACAGATAGCGGAACCCGCGCGGTTGGGTGGCGGCGAGCCGGGGGAGGCGGAGGCGGCGAGCAAAGCTCTGGAGGTGAAGGGGGAATGGGCGGTGGCCGCCGGGCGGAGTACGGACGAGGACGCGGAGGACGGCGGCGAGGGGGCGGCGCAGGTGATGATGGCGGAAGCTCAGCAGCGCGCAGGCCCTCCGCAAGTGCGCGCGTCCGAGGCCTCCGTGCGCCTGTGGGCGCTTCTGGTGCGCGGAGTGGAGGCGCTGGGGCGCGGTGCAGTGCGGCCGAGCGCGGAGCACGTGGCGGCCGTGCACCTGCTGCTCGAGTTCCTCCACGGGCTGCTGGGGCTGCCTGCCGCCGCGGACCACGGCGCGCACGGCGGCGGCGACGGCGAGGCGGCGTGGCTGGCGGGGTGGTTCGACCTGTGCTGGGAGTTCACGCGCGCTCTCACGCGGCACCTCACACCGCTGCTCATGGCCTCCTCCTTCTACCGCCTCGCCCTTGCCACACCCACCTGCCTTCCCCTCCCCGCCTCCGCCGACGTTCCCGTCTCCCCCAAAACTCCGACCGGTGGCACCGCCGCCGCTCACCGCCTTCCAGGCGCGGGGGCTGTGGGAGCAGCTGCAGGCCGCGCAGGCGGGGCGAGTGGCGGCAGTGCGACGGCTGTGGCTCGGCGCGCTGCAGTGCCGGCGGTGTTCGTGACGGCGCTGTGGGTCGATGCAGGAATCACGTTCGGCGCGCACGTGACAGGGATTGGCGCCAAGGAGGGGTTGGCGGAGCGCGCGGAAGAGCTGGTGGCGGCAGCGGTGCAGGGCGCGGACGCGAGCAGCCGATTGGTGGGCGTGCTGCGCGCGCTCGAACAGTTCCTGCCCTCCCCGCATGCCCCGCACGCCCCCGCCTCCCCCACTGCACGAAAAGCGGGCAACAACGGAGCATTGGAAGCGGGAAGGTGGGCGGTGGAGCAGCGGCGCGGAGAGGTGGTGCTGAGCGTGTGGGGCGTGCTGGCGCGGCGACTGGCGCACGAGCTCACAGAGGGCAGCAACGCGGGGGCGGGGGGATTGGGGCAGGGGCAGGGGCAGGGGCAGCAGAGCAGCGGAAAGGGAGGTATTACGGGTGGCGCAGAGGGCAAGGTGGAGGGCGCAGCTGCCGTGGCGCCGGCGCTGCTCTCCTTTGCGCTCTCCTTCCTCTCTGCCGCCGCTGCCTGTGAGTCGCAGCAGCGACAGGTGCATTCGCTGTCTGACGCAACGGCCGCATTGTCGGCACCCACGGCATGTGCGTGCGCGTGGTGTATTCCCGCGTCGCTGTTGCGCGACATGCTGCGCGACACAGAGCGCCTCGTCGTCGCGCTGCTGCACTCGCCTGCGCTCAGGTCGCCCCACCACCCCAACGCGCCCCTCACCCCGCTCTTCGCCGCGCTCGCTGCCGCTGCCCACTGCGACGCCGCGTCCGCTGGCGTCGCTGCTGCCGCTGCTCGGCCGTCCCCCCCCCATTCCGCCCCCGCGCCCCCTACCCCCACTGGAAGTGCTCCTCCCGGCCGCGCGTCCGCGGCGGAGGCGTGGTGGGAGGTGGCGGTGCGCGCGGGCGAGGTGGTCGCGGAGCGCATGGACCTGGCGGCCGCGCTGCCCGCTATCGCTGTCACCATGGCGGGGCAGCGCCGCCGCCTCTCCGCGCTGCGCCCGTCCGCCGCCGCGGGCGACGTGGCCAAGGGGCTGCTCGCGGGGAAGGACGAGGACCCGCGGGGGATGGTTGAGGCGGCGGGCGCGGTGGGCGCGCTGGTGGTGGGCGCGTGCAGAGTGATCGAGAGGACGGGTGCGGACGAGCGGGGTAGAGAGGTGGGCGCGGAGAAGCTGCGGAGGGCGGTGGCGGTGTTGGCGTCGCTGGCGTCGCGCGTCACCTGCGCGTCCGACTCGCTGCTGCTGCTGCACGCCGCCCTCCCCGCGCTCACTGCCGCGCTTTGCCTCGCCTGGTCGCCCCCCCTCCCTGCTTCCGCCGCTACCACTACCCCCTCGCCCAGACACGCGGGCAGTGCAGCGGGTGCAGGCGCGCAGAGTTGGGGTGGCGGCAGCAGGGAGCGGTGGGAGCAGGCGGTGAAGGGCGCGCAGTGGGGCGTGCTGGACGGCGTGAAGGGCGGCGTGGCGGCGGGGTGGGGCGCTGTGCTGAGCATGCTCGAGTCGTGCCAGCCGCCCACCGCCTGGTGCTCCTCCGCGCTCCTTCCCACCGTCTCCCCCGCCCTCGCCGTCGCGCTGCTGCACCCGCACCCGCCCATCGCCGCGCGCTCTCTCGCCTTCTGGCAGGCTACGTTCGGCGGGGTGGCAGAGCACGCAGGTGCGCACACTGCGGTTAAGGCGGTGGGCGCGCGGGGTGCGGTGGGCGGGGAGAAGAAGGCCTTCGCATACCCGCCACCGCTGCTCGCCGCGCTGGCCATCGTGAAAGAGACTGCTGACGTGTCGCTGCCCTATTGGCCGGCAAGCAAGGACGCAAAGGTGTTGAACAAGGAGGTGGGTGCGGGCAAGGCGAGTGCGCTCCAGGCTTCGGCAGCGAGGGCGGGGTCGGCACGCGTGGCTCCCAGTGACGTGCTGCTGTCAGCACGTGGTCGACTCTTGCAGCAGCAGAGCCAGGTGGCGGGCAAGGCAGCGCGAGCAGCATCGCCTGTGAGGTCCACTGGAGTCAGTGCTAGTACACGGACGGACGCCAAGGCAGCAGTGGTGGGCAGCACAGGCACGGCAGGGGCAGGGCCGTCTCAGGGCAGGGACAGCAATGCTCGCCCTGCCAGCCCCGTCCGCCCTGCCAGCCCCATTCGCCCTGCCAGTCCCTCGTGTGTGGGCAGTGTTGGTGTGCGTGCAACAGCAGCAGCAGGAGCAACAACGGCAACAGCAGGCAGCAGTGGCGCAGCAAGAAGCGTGCATGAGAAGCGCGAGCCAGCACCAGCACCAGCTGCAGCAGTGCCAGCAGCAGCAACCCGACCAGCGTCCCCTGTGCGCAAGTCCATGTCACGACTGCTGTCCCTGTCTCGCCAGCACTCCCTTGATCGCAAACCACCAACCCCCACGCCCACCCCCTCTGCTACGCGCACTGCTGCCGTCACTGCTGCCAGCCTCAGGAGCACAGGCAGGAGCACGGCAGGCAGCGGGGCAGGCAGCACAGAGGCACGGAGGGGTGCAGGCTCGGGCAGCTGTGAGGCAAGGAGCGCCACGACTGCAGGTGGTGCAGCCGCACCCAAGGCCACCACGACACCCACTCCCACCACCCAACCGCCTTCCACGCCAACCACCCCAAGAACCCCGCGCACTCCTACCACCCCCGCCACCCCCACCACCCCCGCCACTCCCACCACCCCCACCACCCCCACCGTCCCGGCCACCCCCACAACCCCAGTGCACGGGCGCAGCAGCAGTGCATCCCGGCCGGCCTCCCCGCTGCGCGCCACAGGCAGGGCGCTGCTGGCACTGGCTCTCAAGGGCGGCAGCAGCACCAGCAGCGCTGCAGCGGCCAAGGCGCCTGCCTCTCCCACCCACCGCAGGCCCTCTAGCCCTGGCCCCGCCACAGGCACTGGCACCAGCCGTGGTGCGAGCAGTGGGGCCAGTGGCAGGGAGGCAGGGCACGGCGGCAGCAGCGGCGCTGTGAAGAGCATGCGGTCGCTGGCGTCCAGCCTGAGGTCGCTGCTGCCACACAGGGCAGGCAGCAGCACTCCCAGCAGGTATGGCACAGCTGCCAAGAGCAGCACAGGCAAGGCCGTGGAGGCAGGGGTGGGCACTCGCGCAGAGGCAGGGGCAGGTGCAGCAAGGAGCGGTGGTGGTGCTGGCAGTGAGAGCAGCGAGAGCAGTGCGGGGAAGGGTGCAAGCATCGCTGTGGGTCACATGGGGCGCAGGGAGATAGCTGCTGCCATGGCTGCCAAGCGAGGCATGCCCGGTAGGACAGGCACTGCAGGCAGGCAGCAGCAGGCGCTGCAGCAGCAGCATGCACAGGAGGCAGGCAGCCTTGAGGTGGAGCGCAGCGGCACCCCTGAAGAACTGGGTGTTGCAGCAGCAGGTGAGGCACGTGGGGTGGAGGACATGGTAATGCAGGGTGCATCTGGTGCAGGTGTCTTCCAGTCGCTGGGCTCCTCTGGCGTTACTGCCGGGCTGGCAGGGGGTGCGGTGGCAGCAGGGGTGGCGGGGGAGTGGGCGCGCAGCATGGTGCAGTGCCGCCTGCTGTCCCGCAGAGCACGCGAGGCAGCAGCACTTGCAGGGGAGGCGCACGTGGTGGGGTTGGGGGAAGGCAGTGGGGACGGAGAGGGAGGAGGTGCTGTGACAGGCAAGCGCAAGGCGGGGGGGTGCCAAGTGAGGGAGCAGGACGCACGGGCACTGTTGCAGGCTGCGGTGGTGACAGTGGGGCACAGGAGGGCTCGCAGCGAGAGTTGCAGTGAGGAGGACGGGGCACTGAGAGGTCTACCAGAGCAGCAGAAGCAGGTGCAGGCGCAGCAGGCGGGTGCAAAGAAGAGTGTGCGGCGCCGCAAGGCGGGCCGGAGAGCAACGGTGGCAGTAGTAGACGTGGAGGAGGTGGGTGAGGCGATGCGTGCGGTGGTGCGGTCGGCGGGCATGGTGGAGATGCTGCAGGCGGTGCGCGAGGCAGCAGGCGTGGAGCACATGGAGCTGGAGGAGCTGGAGGCCGCCCAGCGCTGCATCTCCGGCATGTCCCGCCACATTGCTGCCACCATTGAATGCCGTGCCAAAGGAATGGACCATTATGGCATGCTTCCGTGATGTGGTGGGCTCCCGCACTTTGGCTGAGCCAAGGAGGAGCTGGAGAGTGGTGGTTGCAACATCAGAGACCTGACAGTGGCTTCATCACTAGAAGCTGCTGGTGTGGGTATTGAATGCAATATTCTTAACCATTCTTCACATATACTGGCCAACGGCCATCAGAAACACATTGATGGCTACGAGTTGATGTTGTAGGTAATGGGCATTGTGCTACACTTTGATATGGATGGTTGTTATACAGTGTTAATTGTTCAATTACAGTGAATTTATTGTGTTTCTTGCGATACAACCAAAGACTTAGGAAAACAAGCCACACTACCGTATCTGTCTGTATGCAAGCGTTTAGGGTACCATAAGCACCCATTTAGTGCTAAGGTAAGAAAAAGAACTAGGTGTTCCTTTCTCCAAATTGCTCGCTAAACTAAACAAATGACACCTAGGCAGGACACGCTCTGTCCTTATTGTTTGGCGGCCCTCAAGGCCCGAGACGCCATGTTCCAGGCCCTTCACATTAGCCCTTTTGTCAGAATCCCAGCCACTTGTCAAATGTATATAATTTCTATATATTGTTACATAGGCTATAGTGAGTTGCCCTCTAAAGGGTACAACACTTTAGGTCGACACTTGTATCTCCTTGTTCCTCCTCACTCACTTAATCCTCTCGACACTTGTTTCCTAGCCTATTTTAAGATGGTATTAGAGTAGGTAATTTTTCTCCCTCTCACGCTTCCGCTCCCTCCCTTAGCCAGTCCCGAGGCGCCCGTCCCTTAGGCTCCGTTTCGTCGTGGGTAGGACGGCCCCCGCGGGCCTCGTTTTTGTCGCGTTCAAAGGCCCCCGCAGGCCTCGTTTTTCGTCGCTTTTAAAGGGCCCCGCTGGCCCCTCGTTTTGTCGCGCTCCAGAAGGGACCCCCCCCCCCCTCCGCGGGCCTGCGTAGTCGTGCTTAGCCCGGAACAGCCGCGCGTGCAAGCAGCAGGCACACACGCACCAGCAGCAGCAGCGCGCGCGTTAGCCAGTGGCAGCCGCGCACGCCACTGCAGCACGCGCATTGCAGTAGCAGCGCCCGCATTGCAGCAGCAGCGCGTGCATTGCTGAAGCAGCGCGTGCATTGCTGCAGCAGCACGGCTAGTCAACAGCGCGTGCTACTGCAGCAGCACGGCTAGGCAGCAGCTAGCCGCCAGCAGCTCGCCGCCAGCAGCAGCTAGCCGCCAGCTAGCCCCTCCCACCCGCCCACAGCCCCTTTCAACCGCTCACAACCCCTTCCAACCGCTCACAGCCCCTTCCAACCGCTCACAGCCCCTTCCAACCGCTCACAGCCCCTTCCAACCGCTTACAGCCCCTCATCACGCGCGCACACCACCCAGGACCACTCGACCTCCGTTGGTTCGACAATCGCGTCACTCACAGTGTTTTGCACCGTCGCGGCTGGAGGCCGCTCCACTTAGCTGTTTAGGCTAGTCCTGACGTTCATTGTTAGCTAGGTCTCTCCTCGCTCCGCCAGCCCCTCGAACGACTCTCTGGCTCCTCAATCGGCTCGTCAACCCTGCCTCCTCCAGCCGTGTGCTCCTAGCTCAGCTAGCTCCCAACTCCGTTCGTTACTAGACTAGCGTTCCTAGCTCAGTTGTCCTCTGTGGTTTGGCAGTACCTCGCTTAGTCCCACCTGGTGCTCCTCGCTCCTAGCTCCTTCTGCTCCATGCTCCAGCTGCTCCTAGCCTAGCGTCCAATATGGACTCCTCCCGACGCCCACGCGTCCGGCGCCCTCCAGGCACCACCGCGTCCCGAGCCCCTCCCTGCCGTGCCTCCCCAGATTCCGGAGGCGCAGGCGAACTACGCTCGTCTCGTCTTGGCGCGGGACGTTTGGGACTCCCGTGACGCTGCGGCTGCACTCACGCTGACCGAGCTCCTTCCACCAACTGAGGCCGCTCACTTCGACCTGGTAGAGACTGCAAAGGAGGTGTATGATGCTATTTCTGCATGCTATTCCACCCCTTCCTCTGGCTCCCTCAGCAGCATCCTCATGTCGTTCGTGTTTCCCGACCTCGGCTCGTTTGCGTCTGTCTCTGACCTAGCCACACACTTGCGCTCCCTTGTCGCTAGCTACCGAGCAGCTTGCACTGAGGCTCAGCTTCTTGTTGCCCCTCCTCCTATCTGGCTCACCGTCCACTGGGTAGTCACTCGGATCCCTGACCGCCTCTCCACTGCCCGTGACGCACTCCTCCAGTAGCACCCCAGTGAGCTTACGATTGATCTTCACTTTCGGGAAGATCGAGAGTAACCTCCTCTCTGTTGCCTCAGCCACTGACGCAGTTGCCCCTCGTCTGTTTGAGGGGTGTGCTGTCCCCCATATTCCTGCCATCACTGCTACACGTGCCTCTGCTACTGTGTCGGTCTCTGAGGACCCTGCAACTGTTTCTGCCGCTGACAGGCAGAAACGGGGCAAGGGAGGCAAGAAACAGGGGAAGGGGGGTGGCGGCGGTGGAGGAGGTGGCGGTGGTGGAGGCGGCCCTGGGGGCGGCAGTGGTGGCGGTGGTGGTGGTGCACCAGGTGGAGGGAGCTCTGGAGGAGGTGCTGACCCGCCTGCTGGAGGAGGTTCGACCAGCGGTGGTGCGGGGCCCCAGCAACAGCAGAGACAGCAGCAGCAGCAGCAGGGTTAGCAGCAGTGGCAGGCACCACGGCAGTTTCAATCGTGGGGACCCCCACTGCAGTGGGGTCCGCAGCAGCACAGGGGCCCTCCGCCACAGTGGAGACCTGGAGGACCCGGTAGCACTAGCCGCAGCAGTAGCACTACCAGCTGGGCCCCTCGCCCCCCGCGGCGCGACACCGGCCCCTACGACCACTGGTACATCACCGGACCGGGTAGTCCCTGTGTCTGCGGCCACGACGACCACTCTGCAGCGCGGTGCTTCCGCCGCCTCGACAACCTCTACCGTGCACGCTGGAGTCCTGAGGCGACCAATCCCCGCTGGGCTTGCCTGCTAGCCCGTACGATTCCTGTATTTGAAATGTCTATGGACGATGCTCGTCAGTATGCTTTGTATGCTGATGTTGACTATAGTGCTGATGGATCTGTGTGCTCGCGTGTTCGTAGTCTAGGATGCTTACCTGTGCCTCTCTAGTCTAGGTGCTTGTGTGTCTGCTCTAGGTGCTTGTGTAGCCTCCGGACCTGACACGCCTCCGGCTGAGGCATCTCTGTCGTTCACGCTGGACTCTGGCGTGTCGCAGTTTTTCTTCCGCGACCACACGAACCTCACACCACTCCTTGCTCCGGTTCCGGTAGCTCTGGCTGATCATTCTTCAAGACCAGCCATTGCGCGCAGCTCCACCACCCCCTTGTGGTCCCCTCTGGTGTCCTGCGTGGCCTCCATATCCCCTTGTTCACTCGGAACTCGGTGGGTGTTGGATACCTTAAGGATAGGGGGATCACCGTTACCTTTGTGGGGGGTGGGAGGACTGCTGTCTGTACAGACGCCGCTACAGGTGCTGTTCTCGCCACGTTCACCAGGGAGTCCCGCTCTGGTCTCTACGTTCTCCACACCAAGCGCTCCCCGGTTACTTCCTCTGCTCAGGTCGCTGCGTCCCCTCAAGTCCTAGTGCCTAGTCCGGTTGCTGTGTCTAATCAGGTAGTGGTGTCTGGTCAGGTTGCTGCGTCTTGCTCCTGTCGGTCCTTCGCCCACCCGACAGTCTTGTGGCACCACCGCCTTGGCCACCTGTCGCTCCCCCGCCTCCGCAGCATGGCCAGTCACAATCTTGTCTCAGGTCTCCCGCGCGTCTTTTCGTCGCTCCCTCTCTCGCTTGCCCCACCCTGCACTCCTTGCATCGCCGGCCGCCTATGCGCCACTCCGCACTCCTCCTCCCTTCGTCCGGTCTCTGCTCCCTTCCAGACTCTCCACCTGGACGTCTGGGGCCCTGCCCCTACGCTAGGACCTGAGAGGGAGCGCTACTTTCTAGTGGTCGTTGACGACTACTCAAGGTACACCACGGTGTTTCCTCTCGGAAGAAGTCCGAGGTGACTTCTACGCTGATCTGGTGGCTTCTGGTCACTGAGGACACTCGTGGTAGTCGTGTCCGTTGTCTCCACTCCGACCGTGGGGGTGAGTTTCGCTCCGGCATCCTTGCCGGGTTCTGCGGTGAGCAGGGCATCAGACAGTCCTGGACACTGCCGGAGTCTCTACAGCAGAATGGGGTTGCTGAGCGCCACATTGGCTTGGTCTGGACATCGCCCGCACGTCCATGATCCATGCCCGTGCGCCCCATTTTCTGTGGCCCTTCGCGCTGCGTTACGCTGCGCACCAGCTGAACCTCCACCCGCATGTTTCGCGGCCTAAGGTTTCATCGACCAGTCTTTGGACTGGGTCTCCTGGTATTGGGTCGCCCTTTCACGTCCAGGGCTGCCTTGCGCTTGTCCGCAACACCTCTGCGGACAAGCTCTCGGCTCGCACCATCCGCTGTATTTTCCTTGGTTTCCCGGTGGGCTCTCCCAACTACTCCTTTTACCACCCGCCCCTCCAAACGTTTCTAGACTCTCGTGATGTCCGGTTTGACGAGTCAGTGTCCTACTACACCCAGTACCCCTGTCGAGGTCTCCCGGTTCCCCCTCCCCCCCTCTTCCTCGCACCCTCTTCTCCCCCTGCTCCCGCTCCTCCAATACCCCCGCTCCCCCCTGGTCCTGCCCCGTCAGGTGTGTCTCACGCTACCCCTCTACCCTCGGTCGCGCGTCAGGTAGCGTCTCCCTCCCCGCAGTCCTCCTCACAGTCCTTTCAGCAGCCTTCGGCACTTCCACGACATGTTACTGTGGACTCGGTTGGTGTTGGGGCTGGAGGTGCAGCTACTGGCGGTCCTCGGTCTGGGGGTGCTCGTTTGACGGGTGCTGGAGCTGGAGGTGCTCACGCAGGTGGCGCTAGGTCTAGGGGTGCTGGAGCTGGAGGTTCTAGCACTCGAGGTGCTAGTTCTGGGGGTACTGGAGCTGGAGGTGCTGGCACTGGAGGTGCTAGTTCTAGGGGTGC